CCAAGACAGTGTCAAAACCTCTGCTTCAGCAAGTTGTCACATGACATCCAAGTTGTCACATGACATCCAAGACAGTGTCAAAACCTCTGCTTCAGCAAGTTGTCACATGACACCCAAGACAGTGTCAAAACCTCTGCTTCAGCAAGTTGTCACATGACACCCAAGACAGTGTCAAAACCTCTGCTTCAGCAAGTTGTCACATGACACCCAAGACAGTGTCAAAACCTCTGCTTCAGCAAGTTGTCACATGACACCCAAGACAGTGTCAAAACCTCTGCTTCAGCAAGTTGTCACAAAACCTCTGCTTCAGCAAGTTGTCACACATCCAAGACAGTGTCAAAACCAAGTTGTCACATGACACCCAAGACAGTGTCAAAACCTCTGCTTCAGCAAGTTGTCACATGACATCCAAGACAGTGTCAAAACCTCTGCTTCAGCAAGACAGTGTCAAAACCTCTGCTTCAGCAAGTTGTCACATGACATCCAAGACAGTGTCAAAACCTCTGCAAGTTGTCACATGACACCCAAGTTGCTTCACATGACATGACATCCAAGACAGTGTCAAAACCTCTGCTTCAGCAAGTTGTCACATGACACCCAAGACAGTGTCAAAACCTCTGCTTCAGCAAGTTGTGTCACATGACACCCAAGACAGTGTCAAAACCTCTGCTTCAGCAAGTTGTCACATGACATGCAAGCCTGCTGTTTTGGTTTGTTTCATCACCCCATGAACAATCATTATATGTTTGAATCTCCAAGTGCTAGGCTGTGGCTACCCCACTGAACATCTTAAGGGAGGCCCGCTGCATGCTATCCTGATTATAAACAATCATGAACATCATAAGGGAGGCCCGCTGCATGCTATCCTGATTATAAACAATCATAAAAGCACAGGATAGTCAATTTCCAAAGTTCATGACAATACTTTTAACACTTGTTTCATGAAACCTCATATAAAATGAAAACTTTATGAAATAAAAACTCATCTAAGATCCCATATATATCCTATTATTTACAAATGGCAGCAAACAAGTGTTAAATATACACTGTTATAACTCATTTGTCTAGGCTATCAAAATCATGGAATGTAAATAACTGTCGGGCATGTTAAAGATTACAGATGAGAAAAACTGAGAGGGCTGTACCAGTTCTAGTCTCTATGATAAAGTAGCTTAGACTGGCTCAACCTAAAAACCTATGCATCATGTTCTCAGTGTTTTGAATATGAATAAAGCTCCAGAATAATTGATAATATGCTAATGAACTTTCTGTGTAAAATCTTAATATACTTGTGACGTTCATGGTAATTCTTCATGATTCAGAATGCTTGATTTAGTTTGTCAGACCATTAGTAAGCGTCTTTATCAGTCATAATATTTTATACAATATGGTTCCTGTATGATAACAAGATGGTTATGGGGGATACACTGCGAGTCAACAACTAAAAACCAAATCACTTAACTTCAAAATAAGCCATATTGTCAGCTCTTTATTACATCTTTCACATCTTTCTTTATATTATCTTTTAATTCTTTGTATCAATTTCCATAAAATCTTTCAACATGAAAATTTTTTTCATATTCATTAAACTTTTTTAACATTGATACAAATCAAGATGACACTTAAGATTTTCTTAACAAAGTCAATTTTCCAATTCTCCCATTCAAATTTGAAACATTAACAAGAGATATGAGTTATCGTTTTTTGTAAGAAGATCATATATGTATGTAGACATACCTGACAGAAACATACCAAAGATGCCTAGCATTGTTGCAGCAACACTGATCCAAGAATGGTTTAGCGAAAGACATTCCTATCTTCACTTTAGAAAACATTAGAGATCAAAAAAATGGATTCACTAAAAGAAAGTGCTATAATCTTTTTTAACTTGTTCTTCAAACGTTAATATTTCATCTCAACATGGTTCAGTCCTATATTTTTTCTAACAATTTCAGATGAAGAGTTATAATGAGGACTACAGCGTCATTATCACAGCTGTCTCTGACAAGAAAGGCTACCAGAAGACATTGCCACCCAACTATATATATATAACATCACACATTGGAACTGGAAACAGCATTCTTCATGAGGGCTGATAATTAGAAACTGTGGTAGTGTTGGACGGCTAAAAAGTCCTTTATGGCTGTGACGTTTTGGGGTGATGATATTGCTGGTGTTGTGATGTTGGGTGGCTGTGAATAGTACATACCGTCACATCTTTTAATACTGACCTATCACTGTAGACATTTACTGGGTAGCACATATGTTCCCTTCATTACAAACACATACCACAATTACTTTCATCAAGTCAAAGATAGAAAAACTTATTAAAAGGATTTTTTACTTTTACACATCACAAGGACAGGAGTTATAAATTTCTACACTTGAATCGGCCTATAATGGTTTTCTCACACTCTCAGCATGAAAACCAATGTTACAACATGTAACTGGGGAGTCAAACTCCACCAGCTTTAAAACATGTTGATATATAGGTCACGAAATATCTCGCTCTTAACATCATTGATGGACCTTCACAAAGATTTACAATTTGCCAGTGAGACAGAATTAAAAGATTCCATGCACAACCATCAAGAGCTAATGATAGAATTTACCTAGAATTGTATTTTCTGATTATATATAGGAAGGGAACGACGCTTTCATGTAAACATATTTAGAAAATAAGTGACCAAATTTCACTATAGTTGATGTGAGTTATTACAGTTGATCACAGGTTATCAAATTTAATGCAAAGTTTATTTTTCCTCATTCTTAATCAGATTCATAAATATTTTTCAATTTTCATTTCTATCTTTCCTTACAATTTGACAAAAAATCAAATCTTTTACTTTCAGATCACTACTGGAAAAGTTTCCTAAGAATATAGATAAAACCGTTGGAGAAACTGTCAAAACCCCTGACTTGGAAAGTCTTGATATCAATACCTCAAAGAGAGATCGCATCAAATAAGTTGCAGTATCAATAAGAAAGTCTGTTTCTGTTTTGTCTCACCAATAACCGACAGACGATTATGCAAATATCATATCTTCCAAATATACATACTGTCATTGTAAATGTATACAAAGTCCATACCACTGGGAATTTCTTCATCAATACTCACTAGACATATATGGTCTTACTAGCACCTACCATATACATTTATGTATTTTCGTTGTATACTTGCAGCCAAACAATTATGTACATAAAATGTGTCTACGTCTGCAGAAAAGTACAAGAGTTTTGTCGCAGGGACAACAAGTGCTGGACAAAATCAATTTCCTGCAGTCACACCTCTTCTATTCCACCAAGCCTGCAACTATTGGTAACCTTGTAATATAATCACAGTATATACACACCAAACAGGAGGTCAACACCATGTAGAATTTATCAGACTTAACAACCTAGTAATTGTTTGTGAAGTTTAATGTGATGGTTTTCATTTTGTAATATAACCCACATACACATTTGTAAATGATAACATGGAATATTGCCTTGATAAAATTTCAGTCACAAACATTATCTTAGAATATCTATATTGCAAGTTACTTGTTTTTTGTATAGCTACACTGCTAATTACTTGTTTTTTGTATAGCATAGCTACATTGCTAATTACTTGTTTTTTGTATAACATAGCTACATTGCTAATTACTTGTTTTTTGTATAGCTACATTGCTAATTACTTGTTTTTTGTATAGCTACATTGCTAATTACTTGTTTTTTGTATAGCTACATTGCTAATTACTTGTTTTTGTATAGCTACATTGCTAATTACTTGTTTTTTGTATAGCTACATTGCTAATTACTTGTTTTTTGTATAACATAGCTACATTGCTAATTACTTGTTTTTTGTATAGCTACATTGCTAATTACTTGTTTTTTGTATAGCTACATTGCTAATTGCTTGTCTTTTGTATAGCTACATTGCCACTCACTTGTTTTTTGTATAATTACATTGCAAGTAAATTATCTTATGAAAAGCTGCATTGCCAGTCACTTGTTTTCGATAAATTCATTGCCAGTCACTTGTTTTTGATAAATTCATTGCCAGTCAGTTGAATTTTGAATAGAAACATTAGAAGTCAATTACCTTATGAATAACAACATATACATTGACAGTCCAATGTTGTTTTAAATAGTTATATCTAAATATAGGTCTTTTTCAATACTGTAATCACATTATATTGTTACCTTATCTGTCATTTTGTTGTATTAAACTTTGTATATCTATTAAGCATAGTGAAACACATGTCTCACATAGCACGTGTTAAACTTAGTATGATAAACCTAATTCAACTATAATCGTCTGACTCAGCTGCTGTATCATTGTTGTATTTACACACTATTCCAGTCCTGAGTTGGTAATAGAGGAATCATAGCCATGTAATTGACCCTGAATCATATATCTGATGGCAGTGTTTCCTTTTCCTCTCAATCTACATAATTAACAAGTATTTGATTGTACAATATCTGGACTAAAAGATTATTATTGTACAATGTCATGGCTAAGAGGTTATTTTTGTACAATGTCATGGCTAAAAGATTATTATAGTACAATATGACTAAAAGGTTCTTATTGCACAATATCGTGGCTAAAATGTTATTTTTGTACAATATCATGGCTAAAAGGTTATTATTGTACAATGTCATGGCTAAAATGTTATTTTTGTACAATATCATGGCTAAAAGGTTATTATTGTACAATGTCATGGCTAAAAGGTTATTATTGTACAATATCATGATTAAAAGGTGATGTAAAAACAAAGTAAATAAAAACATGTGACAATGAAATGTCTTACAATCAAAAGAACACTGATATCCTGGTTGTAAATTACTCTTTTCACTATTATTCACAAAGAAAAAATAAACAAAATATAAAAGTAAGAAACATAATACACTTCCATCATTCAATTACAACAAAACTAATATTAGTGGAATTCTTATTTTCAACATGATATTTTAATTACACTTCTCGGATTCTATATATGTGTGCTATGTATACTTACGACCATATTCCCTTTCCCCTCATCACTGACTTGTAGCAGAGTGCAAATTCATTACATTGCACCCAAATAAATGATAAAGTTGGTTTACAAATACCAATCGCACAGTAAAGTAGGAATCCCTGGGTACCACAATATCGTCACTGAAACTCTGTCACACAACTTTTATCATGAACATCAAACCGGGAAAAAAATCAAATAAATCCTGATTCAATGCTGATGTAATCTTGCGGAGATGTGGGATGGCAGACTGGTATCAAACAGTTTATATTGAAATATTGGTTGTATTCCTCCACATTCAACCACTAAGACTAGTAAAGTGGATCATGTACAGAAGTATACAGACACTAGAGGTGATATGGAGAATGTCTATGAAGAGTGGTTCTAGTGCAATATCTACAGAGTGAGTCCAGTGCAGCCTGGTCTATGGAACTATACAACACAGGATGTGCACAGGCAGTCAAACAGCCCCAGCATCAGCGGCAGCAGACAGCTCACACAGGCAGTGGCCCATACATCAGGGTTGGTCTCCGTGAATTACAAACCCATTCACAGGTCTACCAGAGATATACAGGGCACTTATCAATGGCCAAATAATGACAGAATCAGTCTAACAACCCTTCTTGGTCTTCACCCCTCATCACAATGTCCTAACCCCTAGAAAATCTGTCTGTCACCCCTCTATTAGTGTTCATCCCTCATCACAATGTCCTAACCCCTAGAAAATCTGTCTGTCACCCCTCTATTAGTGTTCATCCCTCATCACAATGTCCTAACCCCTAGAAAATCTGTCTGTCACCCCTCTATTTGTGTTCATCCCTCATCACAATGTCCTACCCCTAGAAAATCTGTCTGTCACCCCTCTATTAGTGTTCATCCCTCATCACAATGTCCTAACCCCCAGAAAATCTGTCTGTCACCCCTCTATTAGTGTTCATCCCTCATCACAATGTCCTAACCCCTAGAAAATCTGTCTGTCACCCCTCTATTAGTGTTCATCCCTCATCACAATGTCCTAACCCCCAGAAAATCTGTCTGTCACCCCTCTATTAGTGTTCATCCCTCATCACAATGTCCTACCCCTAGAAAATCTGTCTGTCACCCCTCTATTAGTGTTCATCCCTCATCACAATGTCCTAACCCTCAGAAAATCTGTCTGACACCCTTCTGTTAGTCTTCACCCCTTCATCCCACTCATCACTGTCCTGACCCCCTAAGGATCTGTCTCTCACCTCTCCTTAGTCTTCATTGGTACCCTTTCATAATCCCCTAATCACCATGCCTTGACCCTTAGCACTATTGCCTTTACTCCTCCATCCTCCATCCTTATTTTCAATTTTATAGGACAAATATTCTAGATGATATCTTCTGTCCCCACTGTTCTTTTTAATTACATGTTCTCTGATATTATCTCTCACTTCTTGTCGGTGGACTGTTATATAACCTAGCCTTGTTTTGAGCATGTGGTATACATATCTTCGTCCACTTGTTAATTTTGATACATTACTTACTGTTGGACAGGCAGTAGTTTATATCAATCAATCATTCTAATGTATTTTCACCTCCGGCTAAAACAAATTACGAAAACTTTCAAACTAATAATAAGTTTACTAGTTAACTGCATCAAAACAACGTCTATAGTAAGGATAATATATTTTTCAAATATATCCACCTTATTTTAATTGTTTCAATGAATCTTTTTCAATTTTTCTTTGATTTGGTCAGGTTGGTATAAGTGAAGACGATACCATCTTGTCAGTTATGTACACAGACCAACCAACTCACAGAAAATGGGAAAAAAAATGTTTTACTTCACCCACTTAAATCAGAGATCTTAAAAGTAATTAACAGTAGTTGAAATAGCACATCAGTCAGGGAGTCTTGTCTTCTTGTCTATTCTAAAAAGCAAACAGATTAAAAATCTATAATGAACACAGAATCTCCGCCACTGAGAAAAATCCCCATTACTTAAAGAAACCCTCCATAATTAATCAACCTACACACACTTGGGGTCTGAGGAAGTTTAAATCACTAAATTAAGCTGTCCTGTTTCACTTTTAATTTAAACTTTAAAAATTTTAATCATCACTACAAATCATACCCACTAGAATAGTAATCTGAGATAGTTATCAATCCTTCCAATCAATAAAATTGCCAGTAATTTTCCTCTGATTTAATCTCTTACAAAGCTAACAAGGTAAAGTCTGAATTGCTGATGGTTGTGAATTCTCTGGGATGTGAGTGGCTGGGCCTGGTGTGTGTGTCCAATGTTTCTAGCCTTCAGCACACATACCTCCATCATCCTGTGTAAGAATCTAAGGCTGCCTTAGCTCATCCCGTATCATTAGCTGTCAGCTGATGTGCCAATAATTAGATCCTTCCTCGTTTGTCTTGTCGTCTTTGACCTCTGACACTAACAATTAACATTTCAACATTTTAAGTCCTCAACAGTCAGCTATTGAAACATTCTTAGCTTTATATGGCATCTCCTTTATTACCACAACTGGCACATCTAATTAAAAATAACATGACAAAATTATTCATTCTTAACTTTATCATGTATCAATTCCAAATCAACACAAACAGCCAAGACTATTTCCTGAAGTTTGTCATGTGACTTCAAACACTTTAACCTTCACCTGTTAAGCGGTGACCAACATTCTATCCTCTACGGAGTGGCTCCTTGTGCAAAACATTACGCAATAAATCTATTTTGTTGAGATCAGCTTCTTTGCTGCTGCCTCAGAAAATCGTTCTCTTCGATTGCAATTCTTTCATCATTAATTTAATCATTGAACAGATTAATCAAGCGCTAGTTTGCTGAGGTTTATTTATTGACACTCTGATCCTAAATTACACAGCTCAAACATTCCTAGAACTGCTGTCCAAGCACAACATTCCAAGGCCACAGACTTGTGTGCATTTATCATACACTTTTATCTGCTGATCAGTCGTACACATTTTAATAGGCTTCATTACACTGATCCCACGCAAGTCTCATTAAAAAATGTATGTCTCACTCTATCTTAGGTAAAGATCAACACAAAACATTCCCAACTATTCAATTCATGTTTTACACAACATAAAATGTATGTCTCACTCTATCTTATGTAAAGATCAACACAAAACATTCCCAACTATTCAATTCATGTTTTACACAACATAAAATGTATGTCTCACTCTATCTTATGCAAAGATCAACACAAAACATTCCCAACTATTCAATTCATGTTTTACACAACATAAAATGTATGTCTCACTCTATCTTATGTAAAGATCAACACAAAACATTCCCAACTATTCAATTCATGTTTTACACAACATAAAATGTATGTCTCACTCTATCTTAGGTAAAGATCAACACAAAACATTCCCAACTATTCAATTCATGTTTTACACAACATAAAATGTATGTCTCACTCTATCTTATGTAAAGATCAACACAAAACATTCCCAACAATTCATTTCATGTTTTACACAACATAAAATGTATGTTCATAAAGTAAAGATCAACACAAAACATTCCCAACTATTCAATTCATGTTTTACACAAATAAAATGTATGTCTCACTCTATCTTATGTAAAGATCAACACAAAACATTCCCAACTATTCAATTCATGTTTTACACAACATAAAATGTATGTCTCACTCTATCTTATGTAAAGATCAACACAAAACATTCCCAACAATTCATTTCATGTTTTACACAACATAAAATGTAACTCTATCTTAGGTAAAGATCAACACAAAACATTCCCAACTATTCAATTCATGTTTTACACAACATAAAATGTATGTCTCACTCTATCTTATGTAAAGATCAACACAAAACATTCCCAACAATTCATTTCATGTTTTACACAACATAAAATGTATGTTCCCCTCTGACTAAAGTAAAGATCAACACAAAACATTCCCAACTATTCAATTCATGTTTTACACAACATAAAATGTATGTCTCACTCTATCTTATGTAAAGATCAACACAAAACATTCCCAACAATTCATTTCATGTTTTACACAACATAAAATGTATGTCTCACTCTATCTTAGGTAAAGATCAACACAAAACATTCCCAACTATTCAATTCATGTTTTACACAACATAAAATGTATGTCTCACTCTATCTTATGTAAAGATCAACACAAAACATTCCCAACAATTCATTTCATGTTTTACACAACATAAAATGTATGTCTCACTCTATCTTAGGTAAAGATCAACACAAAACATTCCCAACTATTCAATTCATGTTTTACACAACATAAAATGTATGTCTCACTCTATCTTATGTAAAGATCAACACAAAACATTCCCAACAATTCATTTCATGTTTTACACAACATAAAATGTAACTAAAGTAAAGATCAACACAAAACATTCACTATTCAATTCATGTTTTACACAACATAAAATGTATGTCTCACTCTATCTTATGTAAAGATCAACACAAAACATTCCCAACAATTCATTTCATGTTTTACACAACATAAAATGTATGTTCCCCTCTGACTAATGTAAAGATCAACACAAAACATTCCCAACTATTCAATTCATGTTTTACACAACATAAAATGTATGTCCCACTCTGTCTAATGTAAAGATCAACACAAAACATTCCCAACTATTCAATTCATGTTTTACACAACATAAAATGTATGTCCCACTCTGTCTAACGTAAAGATCAACACAACACATTCCCAACTATTCAAAGATATTCACATGTATTATCTTATTGATCCGGTAATAAGCCCAATGGCCAACCCCTCTGATTCAAAGTCTGGGGATGCCTTATCAAAAGGGCAAATACATTCCCCGTGACTAACAGGTCAGGGGGTGGGCTTATTACAGGCCACCAGGGGGTATACACATTATTATCTCTGATTCTAAATAGGGGCATGTGCTTATTTTTTTTTTTTTTTTGTGGGGGGGGGGGGGAAATAGCCTCATCACATCTAATATTATAAACTAACTTGACCTATAAAATAAGCCATATGATGTTTCTAATAAAAATTATGATCATTAAGCTACATATTTACAAGATAAAAACAAAAGGCTTCTGGTATTTTTACCTTAATTAGATATAATTACAAATCAAACATTCCATGACCATGACCTC